TAAAAAAAAAAGAAAGGTACACTATAGGTCAGGGTCTTTCACAAATGGTAGGTGTAGAAATGGAAAGCAAAACATTTGCAAATCAAATCCAGTGACGTATATAGAGAATAATAAATCACAGAACAAGTGGGGTTTACCTTCTTTTAAAAAAATTTTTTTTTAATTTATTTATTTGAGAGAGAGAGAGCACAAGCACGGGGAGCAGCAGAGGGAGAGGGAGAAGCAGGCTCCCTGCCGAGCAGGGAGCCCACTGCGGGGCTTGATCCCAGGACCTGAGTGGAAGGCAGATGCTTAGTCAACTGAGCCACCCAGGTGCCCCAATTGGGGTTTACTTTCAAAACGAAAAGTTAGGTTAAAATTAAAAAGTCAATGACCACATGAATAGAGTTTAGAAAAACACAATATAATCATCTCCTCGGGTACATTAAAAGTGTTTAATGAAAGTCAGTGCTCATTACCGAAAGACATTTAGTAAACTAGGGATAATGAGAACTTCCTTGATGTCATAGAGTATACAAAATACAGCAAAACTTATCCTTAAATGTTTTCTCCTTAAAATTGAGAGATGGACGGCCACTGCTAATTCTATGCAACATTGGACTACTCTTTAATCAGTAAAAAAGGCAAGAAAATATATCAAATATCATTATTTATACATGTCCTGATTTTGTTTCCAAGAAAGTATCAAACATTCTACAAATATTAGACAAGGTGAATTTTTGCAAGATGTCTGATCCAAAATCAATTGGATTGTATTATGACACTAGCAGCTGAAAATTAAATTTAAAAAATACTCAACTGTATATATTGCCATTAAACATCAAATATCTAAGAAAAAATCCAATGAAAATGTGCAAGCCCTCTACAGAAATACACAATATTATAAATATTATATGTATAAAGGATAGCCATGTTTGTGGATTGCAAAACTCAATTCCAGTTGGAAAATATCAATTATCCCCAAGTTGCTGTATAAACTCAATGCTATGCCATTGGAAATCCAGCAAGTGCTTTGTGTGTGTGTGTGTGTGAACATTGACAGCTGATTCTAAAATTACACAGATATAAACAGGCTAAGAA